CCCCCCCCCCCCCCCCTCTCCACCCCCTCTCACCATACGGGCACCAACGTTCTTCTTGGTGTCGCTGCCGTCATGCAGGCGGCAGATACAAGCAACCGCTCCCCGGAATGCCGCTGCTGGCCGCAGATGGTAGCTCGAGCTCCAGCAACAGCCAGCCGTGCCACGTCTCCGCTTTGGACTTGAACAAATTGTAGACGGTCACGGAACTTATTGAGCAAGTACAACACAGAAACACTGTCACAGGACGTACTTCATTCCCTGGTAGGCGGTTAGCTTACTACGTCGCCGACAGTTGTGGAAGAGACTACGCTTTCAGCCGAAGGATTCTGGCCATGCTGATTTGATGAACTGGTCGTAGACACCAGTCTGTGTGTAGCTGTACATACATGTGTTTCAGCTTGGTTGTGGTCCGCCTGTGGGCGGGGGAGAGACCGGCGTTTTTTGGTGAAACGGCTCACTTCGCCAACTACGCACCATGCATTAAAAAAGATGGGATTTGTTTTTGTTTGTTTTTCCGGTTTTCGGGGAATGGAACCTTCAGATAGATGCAGAGCTTTCATGACTGGGAGCTAAAAGGTTTAGTGGCCTCCTTTCTAGCGTGAGGTCGAATCGATATACACTACAGGAATGACGCTCTTGGAATATCGTCGGTTTAGGAGGCAGGCGTCGCTGACTACGTGTTGGCAAAGACGTACCTCCATTCCCCCTTGTTCGAAGGTCAGATGTACTGCTGTAGTAAGAGATCCGGTGCTTGTTGCTTCCTAGAAGTACACTTGCAAATGTGTTCGTTCTAGAAAGGTATACTTACCCCTCTTTGGGCACTTGGCCTGTGACCACGGAAGGCGTCCGCGTCACTTGAACCAGTACGGATACTAGAAGGTACTGAGCGGAGACCGTAACGGGTTTTAATGTGAAGACAACAGCACTTCTATGCATACGACCTCGGCCCCTCTGTCGAATGGGAGTTTAGTTAAGTGTAGTCTGTTGGTCTAAAGTGGATGATCATGCTTGACCACCCGCGAGCGAGAGGGGGAGGCGTGACGGGCGGGGGGGCACTCATGCTTTGCATCCCCGAGTTGTGACATCACTGACCACGCGCGTCCTCGACAGGACGGAACACTATGCCGACGGGACCAACCAGCGATGGCCAATCGATCTGGCCCCAAGGGGTGACGATCTTCGCTCAAAGAGTTTGCAATTTGGCGAGAGGGGCGCAACGAACGCCCCCTGACGATCTTCGCTCAAAAGAGTTTGCAGTTTGGCAAGAGGGGGGCAACGAATGCCGATAAAAAGAAGAACCCATAGGTCGACATCATCAATCGATTGAAATTTCAAGCGCCGTTTGTATGTTGGTGTGATGGCGTGACTGCCGTGAGCACTGCTGAAGACTCCAAAATGCGATGAAAAGAAGACCCCATGGGTCGATATGACCAATACTCTCAAATGCTGGGGGTGCTGCATCGCTTGCATCGTTTGCGCTGCAGGTGCCCACCATCGCGCCAGGTTTTGACCCTCGACTTGATGGGACCGCCTACGCAGGATCTTACAAAGTATATGGAAAAACAATAGGGAGGGGGCACGCAGACCCTATTGTTAACCCTAACCCTAACCCCAAAGCACGGATTGAATACTTTATCCCATATGTTGCTTAATAATTTTTGCTGCGTAGGCTACTGACTCGATGTCGGGATTCTTGGTCCACGATACTTCTTCGGTGGCAACAACACAAGAAACAGGCGCACATCCATTGACGTCTCTTGTTTCGATGGTGACATCAGCGGTGGTGGTGTCTCGCATGATGGGACGGCAGCTGGGAAACTATTGACTCCCATCGAATACGGCAAAGAGCATTGTACAAACGCGGCGTCGCCATGTGTTCATGCAACATTTTATCACAGGTGTTGAATGACGACATATGTAAAAGAACGCCTACTGCTGTAACAAGAAACCCAAAGAAAAAATGACGTTTCATTTTACGCGTACCATGCATGCGTGCTAAAAAAACAACTCAGATCAAACAAGAGCAAGCATTCCGGCCCCCCCTCACTCTAACCAATTCTACCTCGCTACATCGGAACCCGTCGCAGCTCTGCCCCCTCCGCTCGTCTCCCGCAGTCGCTTAATAAACCTCACTGTTTGCGCAGACTCAGAATATCAGAGAGCACACGAACGCCGAGATTACCCAACGCCCCTCCCACCCTGAAGCGCTCCCTTTCGTGGTCTCAAGAACGTGACTCGAGAGCTAGACTACCGCTACGGCTATCACGCTGGAACGCTGTGCACGTAGGGTGAGACAGACCGGTCTCGCGACTACTATACGACAGCCACGGCAATTCCTTCCTGACTATTATGTAGATGCCGGATGCGGAATCAGAAAATACCTTGCAAACACCAACACTAGGGACGCAACATCAGCAAAAATCAAAGCAATATCATCTCCCCCGCGAATGCTTCCCTTCTCACATTCCTCTTGTCTATACCCCGAACACCAACTAACCGCCTCGGGTTTCCAGCGAGTCAGATCTCCAGACCTCCAGAGGTCTCCGAAAAAAGCGGCAGCATGTCACGGAACTGAGGCCTCCTGCACACGCCCGGCTAAACACCAGAGGCACCACGACCATCCCCGAGCACCAGCTCATCTTTCCTGCCCCTCCCCGACGGCTCCGCCCCCCTCCCCAGCCGCTCCGCTCGGAGGAGGGACGGCGTACTCACCTAACCGCTAAGGCATGCAAAAAACGTGAGTACACGCCCCCGCCCCCCCGTCGCGCCTCCCGCCCTCCCCAGTGCGAGACTAGAAGCCCCGACGGGGCTAGATTATATAGGCACCGATCCAACCACAGCAGTAGTAGTGGCCGTTCCAGGGGGGGCGGTTCCAGCAGGGGCGGTCTCAGCAGGAGCGGTCTCAGGAGCGGTCCCAGCGGGGACGGTTGCGGGAGGAGCGGTGTCGGGGGCGGTGGTCGTCGGTGGGGCAACTACTCCAGGAGCAGCAGCCGGTGGGATCCCCAGAGCGGAAATCGCGGAAGGGGCAGCTAATCCGGGAGGAGGAGCAACTCCAGCAGCAGGAGCAGCGGCTACGGGAGGAGAAGCAGCCACGGGCGGAGCGGCTACCGGAGTTGGAGCGGCTAGCGGAGTAGGAGCGGCCACCGGAGGCGCAGCCCCAACGGTGGTGACCGCGGCGGTGGAAGCGGCGGCGGCTGCGGCAGCGGCGGCTGCGGCTGCGGCGGCGGCCTCAGCGGCAACAACCGCGTCCGCGGCGGCGGCGGCGGCGTCGACGGCGTCAGCCTTTTCCCCTGCACCGCCGTCCTCCGCCTGGCGCATCTGCTTGTCCTTGTCCGCCTCGAGCGGGGGTCCCGGCCGCTTGGACCGCAACACCGCCGTTGGGTCCGCCACGTCCGTCGAGAACCCGGGGAACGGGGACAACATCGCGGTGGTCGGGCCCGCCGCCGGGGCTGCGGGTACGACCGGCATCGCCGTAGGCGCCGGCGCCGCCGTCGAAGGCGCCGAAGGCACCTTGCCGTCCGGCACGGCCTTTCCTCCAGCGGCCGCGGCAATGGCGGCGGCGACGGCGTCGGCTTCACTGCCCGCGTCGCCCTTTGAGACCATGGTATTAGCGCCGCCTACGCCTGCGCCTGCGCCTGCGGCGCCGCCGCTCAGCAGGAAGCTCACCGCGGCGTCGGCGTCGGCGTCGTTCGCCGCCGCGGTAATGCCTCCGGTAGCGGCGGCGCCGGCACCGTTCCAGGAGAGCGTGGACACCGGGGGGGGCTCCGCGCAGCAGCGGGCCAGCATGAAGGCGGGGGCCAGCTCGTTCTCTTCCGCGGGGTCGAGGAGGTAGCCTGAGGCGTTTCGCCAGCGGGTCACGATGGCCTGGAGGGCAGGATCTTCCGAGTTGGCCCTGAAGCCGGGCTGTCCGGAGGAGGGAGGGGGGGGGGGGGGGGGGG